CAAGACTTCAAAACTAATATTTAATCTAATGTTTAGAAAAAATATGTGAGATATTAGATATAAATGTGCAAATTAAATTGTTCGAAAGGATTGTTCAGGAGATTGCACTGTTAAAAAAAAAGTTTCTCAAAATTTTACAAATGACTTCCAAACAAATATAGCCGAATTTAAAAGTCTCATGTACGGAAAACTAACCAGTGAAGGAACACTTAAGCTTAGCTTGTCTTTAAAAAAAATCATAAAAATTTCAAAATTTGTAATTTTAGCTAAATGACGGTGTCCACATATTTGTTATTAAATGCAAATTATGCAAAGAAAATTTAGATTACTTACATAATATTGTTTTAAGCTTTTGGTGGTTCAAATAATAGGTAATAAGATAACCAAGTGAAGGAACAGCTCTTACCAGTGAATAAACACTAAATTTTCCAGTGAATGAACACTTAATTTTTAGAATGTTTGATGCTCGTTAGGAATCCATAGGCAACACAAATGTCTAAAAACAAGATTTTTCTTGGAATTACATCATAAAACCACAGTTAGCTTGGGAAATTTTCCTTTTTTTTCAGTCATGGAAAGTAAAATGTGGTTGAATACAAAAGATTAATTGTTAAGAAAAATTGTTTTTCATTTTTTTTTTCTCGCAGTTTAATAGTCCGTTCTAATTCGTAAATGTTTATCATTGCATAATCCGTTGATGTATTTTTTTTTTTTTTTTTTTTTTTTTTTTTTTTTTTTTTTTTTTTTTTTTTTGTTATTGTAATTTGATCATTTCTGTGTTTACTCTTTTCCCCCAGATTTTTTTAAGCTTTTTTTTATGCTTTTAAGTATTTTTTTTCTCTTCGTCATACTTTCTGTTTTAACTTTTTTTTTCAACTCTTTCGGTCTCTTTAAAATTAGTTAAAGCAGAAAAGTAATTTATTTCTTTTTCTTTGGATTTGACCATCATTCAAAGAGAATTAAGAAGAATTTACATTAAGCACAAATGAGAACAGCGAAAATGTTTTTATAACAATTGAACGCTAGCAGACGACAATGAGACAGCAATTTTTAACATTTTCCAAATTATTGAGATTTTTGAAATTTAATGTCTTGGGCAGCTTAAATTGCTTACAAAAATGTTCCATATTTTTCTTCATTTCTTTATTTTTTTTGTAAGCACTTAAATTGTGTATTTTTATTTTAAGCATTTTAAATTTCAGAATGGTATAAAAAATTTATTTTTAAAAATATATTAGTTTTTTTTCTTAAATTCACAAATTATAAATTTTTTTAAAAAATGGAAGAAAGTGTATTAAAAATGTATATAATAAAATTTTTGAATTTCAGATTTTACTGGCATAAAGACAGAATGTTATTATTCGTAATCAATACAATTTATTAAAATCAAATAAAAGAGCAAATAATATACATGTACTATAAAGAAAGCATTTTATATATTACAGTCCAGGAGAGTGTTTTTATTTGAGTGAAGTGTGATTTCATACCCAGCTGGCCAAAACAGCAACGTTTCATTTCCTATTTACATCTGTTGCTCATACATTGTTTAGTTTACACGTATTTTATGTCATTGGTTTTTTCTCTCATTTGTAGCAATTTTGGCGATTTTCAAATGCTGCATTGCACTCATTCTTCAGTGAAACGTTTTTTTTTCTATGGGATTGGGGCAAAAATTAAATAATTGATCTTAATTTGGGGGAAAATAATAGATGTATAGTTACAAATTTTACGACGGAAATTTCAAAAACTTAAAGTGTTAAACTTAACAATTTATTTTGTAGTAAAAAATTTAACGTAACTAAACATAAATATTTAATTTTTCTGCTTAACTCAAAATTATTGAGTCGCATGTTTTTTATGAACAGCAGTTTTTACGTAAAATGTGTTAAACTTATAAAATATAGAACAATGTGATTGTTGTTTTCAACTTATTTTTATGCATATTAAAGTATTGTAATTTTAGTTATTTTACAATATGCCAGCTTTCTAAATAAATAAATGTATAATAATAATGAATTTTAAATTGAGAATAACTGTATCTTATTTTGAAATATTTATAACATGTAAAAAGTTTTATATGCTCAGATGAAATGATTTATCCATTATTTCTATACTACAGTCGAACTCGTTTATAACGAGCTCGGATTTAACGAGAACTCGGATTTACCGAGGGAAATGACAATTTTTGGTTGGATCAATGTTAAGTCTATGGAACAGAAGTCGCTTTTAACGAGCAAGACCCGGTTTTAGCGAGCAATATTTTTCCGTCTTGTAATCTTTTTTCTCATCTTTCTAGTCTTTCTGTCTTATCTTTTTTNGTAAGTATTAATTAAATTTTATGTAAACTCAGTAATTTGACCTCCCAACCCCCTCCCCCCTCTTCCGGTTGCACGCCTGCCTTAAAGACCCGTTTATTACGAGCACTCGGATTTAACGAGTACGTGTTACGGTCCCTTTGTGCTCGTTATAAACGAGTTCGACTATAGAAACTTTTTTACAAGCTTTTGACTTAACCAGTTTTTAAACTGAAATATTCTATTTTTTGCTTATTAGAAATGCAAGTATTCATTTTTTCTTTTGGAAATCAGCTTCTTTTTCTAATAAAACTATTTGAGTTCCTTTTTTTATTTCTTGTCCAGCATTTCTTAAATAATATACTTAACAATTCAGAAAAACGAAAGCTTTTCAATTTTACTCTCTTAAACCAATAATAATAATAAATATTAGAAAAAATACTCACAGATTCATACTTATTTGAAGGTGAAAAACCAATGCAGTGATCAAGCAACGCAATTTTATACCCGAGAGCCAAATGTGGCGAAAGTTTTAGTAACCAGTCGTGTCACTCCTTTCAGCATAAATGCTCTCTCACTTCTACGACGTTTTTAGCTGGAGCCTCCTTCTTGTCCTTCGGAGGGATGTTTTCTCCTCCTTCGCGGGATCGATTCAAAGATGCTCCTCCTCATTATCTGGGAATTATTTATTCTTCTTTCTATTCATCTTTTCTCCTCAGCGGATTCTTGCAGAGTGTAATGAAACCGTCCGTCAAAGAAATATTTATAGTGGGCTCCAATCAGAACATTCTGATAGCATTCGGGCGTAGAAATCTCAGACACATAAATTTATCCCAAATTGTTTCGTAATAAAATAATACTATAGAGTTATATTACAGTAAGTAACAACTCTTTTAGTTTTAAACTTATAATTTAGAAGATAATCAAATTAGGAATAAAAAAATTTTCATTGGAAAACAATACCTCAATGACTTTCATTAATTTCATGCTGATGACAAACAACAAAATATGGTAATAAAAAAATATGGTATAAGTCAATGAGGAAAAACTGGATCCTATCATGCGATTTTCCCGAAAATGCACTATGTCTGGCTATTTAATTAAATTTATTATTCACGTGATAAAACAGTCCGATTGCAATAAGAGACAACTTTATTTTTATTGCATATTGTATAAAGGAATAAAAATTTGTCTGAGTAAAAATGAATTTGAAAAAGTTTCAACTTGAGGTAAGCTAAAAAAATATATCGTAGAAGATTGTAAATTTAATACGAACAATTTTTATAGGCAGTATAAGTCAAGAGTATTTTGAGCTGTGTATTAATTTGTTTATATCTAAACTTGTGATTTTGAAACAATAAACCTTATGATTCAGAAAAATACTAATTCTTAAGCTATTCTATTTTAGAACCCTTTTTACTGCGATTGTCACATTAGTTTTGTTTTTATTCAAATTCTCTCTCTTTTTAATACTATCGTAACATTGATTTCCTCCACAACAATGTTATAGAGATTCTTTCTCCTCTTCTTCCGAAATTATGACGTCACATACTTATAGATACTATACCTTCTTTCAATGCCATTCGTATTCACTAGTTACTATTTCAAGTCACAGATTTAATTTTATCTTGCCCTTTGTTGTTGCTCTAAATTATATATTTAATTGACTATTCGAATGCAATTTCATTTTCGGTTTTTTTTCTAGTTTATTATAAAAGTTTTGAAATTAAGTAATAAATCCATGGCTTAATGTTAAAAATAAGGTAAAGTTTACCCTTTCAATGTAAATATTAGATCTATACTTTTACACAACTTAGCCCAAATTATTGCGTACGAGGTTGGGTTCTATCCGGAGAAAACTTTATAGTTTTAGGAAAGTGGAAGAAACTGAAAATCCAGAAGAAAAAGAAAAATGTAGACCAGTCGTAAAATACACAAAGCAAAGAGAATATAAAATAAAATTACCAGGCTTATTCGGAGCAGTTATTAAATTTTATAGCATATTGTGCTTTTAGATAACTTAATCAAATTTATTACTTTTTGTGCTTAATTCATACAATATATTTTTTCGATAAAATTTACTAAAGTTACAAACTTATTTTTGGTTTGATTTATTATGTTACTGCATTAAAGTTTCCTTATATTCTTTTAAAGTTGTTTCAGATTTTTAAGAAATTTTTTTAATATCTAAAATCTGTTTGAAGTTATCTATATATATATTTCTCTTACACGGCGACAAAAAAAAGCCTCATTACAACTCCCCGAATGGCAACGCTAGAAAATCGACCAATGATTGCCGCTAAGAATGTCACATGCCAAATCTAGCTAAGGTGACTCAACATGAAGCGCTTTTAAAAACGGAAACTGAAATAACCAGAGAGAGCATTCGCACCAAATGTGATCTCTTCCGAAATTCACCCTATCAGCTATGGTAATCTCATACTATTGAGCTAGGCAGAAGTGAGTAGTCTTCGTCGATAGATCTCTATTTTAGTATTTTGTCGAAAGCGCTTTTTTTTCACGAATTTATGTATTACGAATTTATTTCACGATTTTTGATTTATATCACGAATTTATTTGTTTTATCATTTATTAGTTATTCATTGAAAAATGAGTCTCAGTCGTGCTGTTACGCTTTTGAAGTATAATCAAAAGAAGCGTGCTGAAAGATTGGATGACAGCTATGAAAGACGTAGTGGTGAAAGAATGCGTAGACGACGTACTGTCATTCAAAATTTAACTACTGATTTTGTCGAACACAACATCGGTTCCATGACCGAAATTGGTAGTTTTTGTGCTGCTCACTTCTGGGCAGAAGAAAAAAATTCCTGTGGGAAACATAACAAATGCTGCCATGATGGAAAAATCAAGTTGGAAGATTTAACTATCATTCCTGATTTGTTTAAACATTTACTCTGTGACAATTCCATCGAGGCCAAAAACAATAGGGATCACATCGCTGAATATAATGCTGATCTTGCATCATTTGGAGCACAGATAAAGCCACCTTCTGGAGACCATATTGTTTCCGCATTCACGGTCAGATTTATCACATGGTTTCTCCGCTGTATGCAAATGATAGTAACAAAGCTGGATGTAGGCAATTGTATATTTTCGGTTCCAGCGAAGCTACCGACAGACGCATGGATAATGACAGTGGATGTTTACGGTCTGTGATGGAGCAGTTAGATTATTTATCAAAACAAATAAATCCTTTTGTTGCATCATATCATCGAATGCATAAATTAATCCAATCAAATCCTACAACAGAAGTCAAGTTGGTTTTCATGGAAGATCCCAATTCTGATTTGAGGCGATACAATGCTCCAACTTCAAAAACTGAGGTAGCAGCAATATTTGTAAGAAAAAATGGAGAACCTCCATCTAATTGAGATTTGTGCATCTATCCAGTTGGAGATGTGTGTGAAACCATTTCTCCTATGAATCATTGTACAGATCCAATGGTTTATCCTCTACTTTTTCCTAGGGGAGAGAGTGGTTGGCATCGTGGAAGAGCGCCGCACTGCCAAACGTAACAGAGTTACTCAGCTACAATACTATGCCTACAGATTTGCAATTAGACACAGTTTCAGTCTTCACTGTAATGGGAAACTTTTTCAGCAGTTTGTTGTTGATGCATGTGTCAAAACTGAAGGATCGAGATTGAACTATTTGCGAATTAATCAAACGAATTTAAGAATAGAATTGTACCAAGGTCTGTTGGACGCTCTTCAAAATGAGGCATACTCAAATCACAAGAAGCTGGGAAAGTTGATAATATTACCTTCCACTTTTCAAGGATCTCTTCGCTCCGTGCAACAAAATTACCAGGATGCAATAGCAATTGTGAGAAAATTTGGTAGGCCAGATCTTTTCATAACTTTTACATGCAATCCGGCATGGCCTGAAATTTTGAGTGCATTACAGGGTTGCCAGCGTCCTGAACATAGACCTGATATTGTTGTTACAGGGTTCCCACGGTACTTGAAAGTCCTTGAATTTGGTTGAAAAAAATCAGGGCCCCAGAAAGTCCTTGAATTCTGCCATAGGGTACTTGAAAAGTACTTGATTTTTTAGAAATTAAAATACTACTAATTTTTCTTGCAAAAAAGTAATGAAAAAAAAAAATAAATTCAAAGGAAAATTATAGAAATTCTAATTATGCAATTTTTAATGCTTGAAGTGAAAAGGGCTTAAAGAAGATGCAAAACTTTTCTCTCCTAGATTTTTCAGACCAGATTGTTGTTCATATCTCTGATGTTTTGAAAGCTGAAATTTCTAGCAAATTTTAGGTTTTTTAGTCATAGTTTTGCGAATGATATATAGGGTTTAATTGATTTAGAAACATGTTTAATGTGTTGACTTCATTATTACGACAGGTTAATATTGTTGTCCTATTTGTTCTTTTAATTTATGTAAGAAGGATAATTAATTTTGTATCATTTACAATCAAATTTTTACATTCAGTTTTTACTGCTAATAAATAAAGTTTAGTCCTACAGGTTTCATTGATTATGAATAAACATCGTGATTCACATTAAACTGATTCTTGATTTATGGATCAGAAATTCACATAAAATGTTCTACGAATTGTGGTTTAACTGAAAGTGATCAATGAATCACATATCGAATATTACTTTAAAGTGATTTGCAAATTACTCATCAGGATTTGTATTAAGGTATTTTATAAATCACATCATGATTCACATTAAAGTTATTTATCAATCATGCCTCACGATTCTTATTCTAGTAGTTTACAAATCACGC